AAGGATGCACGTAACATCAATTATGACGACTGTGATGAACAAGAGAACAAGCAAAGCCCCTAAAAAGGTACCTACGTAGGTGTCTTTTCTGATGAGTGGTTCCAATATGGTTAGGGAAAGGAAAACAAAGAGGTTTGCACCATAAATAAACCAGTTCAACCAAACATTCTGAATTCCCCTTATTAAGGCTAGACCCACTTGCCTAGCAAGATCCACCTTATCCGGATTCAAAATACCGCTCTATTTTGTGGAGCTTGGTGGCTTTGATACCAACTGTATTCTGCACTGGTACCCATTTTCGAAAGATTTATAGCGGTATTTTATGCTGGGTGACTTTGGAAAACCGGTCGTTGGTGACAAAGTGGTCACGTCACCAACTTATGACCTATAAGTCCCGGGTTCGAACCGCTCCCCCGCCACTCGTTTTCCCAAGCAAACTTTGTATGGCCGCGGATCTCCTTTCTGAATATTGACTGTACATTTGTATACTCAATAAATAAGAAAGGGAGTAAAAGGACATTATTTATTTATTCATCATGTACCCTAGAAAATTCTTGTCGACTTGATCAATCTTTAGAATCTGTGGAGTACTTTTGTAATTCAGGCCGTTCTACATCCATCACGACCATCAGCTAATGCATGAACAGACAGACCGAATGAATCTTGCGTACAGGTGCGTAGCTATGTTCAATCTTTTCAAAATTTATGTTCTGTTTTAGTGATAGGATTTAGAAACTATCAAAAAACGTAGCCATGCACAACAAACAGAAACTGTCATAAGAAAAGGTCTATACTTCTCTGAATGTTTCAAATTTGTACTTAGGCGTTCAAACAGATTCTAAGCATCAACTCTCCAAAGAAAGTGGAATTCGGTAGCCATGGGAATGAAACTTGGGGGACCGAAATGGTTACCGGGCATAAAACACATAAGTATACCCTCGTCGTAATGGATGATACATAAGTATACATATAAATAGATATATAAAAAAATCATTTGATTTTAGCCTTCATATAATTGCACAGATACAGCGAGAGAATGGGTAAGTTGTAAGTTATGGAATACGAATATGAAGATTGGATCATGTTTATAAATTCCTATTCCCGCACAATCCTCAGTTCCTCCAATCTCACCATCGAGAACTCCGTTTCAGCTTATCAGTAATGCCTGTCCAACTTTTGCAATTTAAATCCCGGACTCCTGAGTTGGAATGCGTGTGTTTCCATTGTGCAAATTCATTCAGAACTAACGGATTTCAAGATCCAATCTGAATGTGACCTGATAGATTAATTTGAGAATAAATAGTTAAACCTGACACAGTACCGTTTGCCTTCGTGTTTTCGATCCTTCCTGTGAAATCGTCTTCCAATCACTACAAAAACGTGGTGGAGTAACCAAACGACCGTAGCTCTCGGAGAAAAAAATATTTTGAAACGGAATCGAAAGCCCAATAATAATGAAAGAAGACATAACGAGTGGATTTTGGGAACCGTCTAGATTTACATATAAAGTGCATCCTTGAAGAAACGGCATCTAAAGTAGTTCTATTTGGCTTATTACGCAACGCGGAGGGGATCACTGGGAATACTACGACCGCTGAATTGTAATGTAAGCAATAGTGATAATACTAATTAATCAGGCAACTCGGCAAACGTTTATTGTAAACTATACATAAAGTAAGAACCCAGTTAATTTGCCCCAATTGGTAAAGTAAACACAGATTTTGGAGTATATCACGAAAGGGCGCTCATCTATTAAAGTGTTTACTATTTTGGAGAGTCTTTGAGGGCACAGTACGGAACCAGCCTTAGCGTACTGTATTTTTTATACCAGCTACCCCAGTGTTTTCGAGACCAGAAGTACTTACAAAATCAAAACNACTTACCCCAGTCAGGACAGTTCATTCTCATCACCCTTCACGTGACTCATTTGCCTTTCCGGCGATTTCGCGGGTGTCAGCCAATTCAGGGTTTCAGCAATATATACTCCATTTGTGTTTGTCTTGTAGATCGATTCCACACAATTGCAAACAGGTTGTTCCACATTATTTTCAACTTAAGATACTTCAGTATCAAGTTACTATCAATATTGGATCGGGATCACTTAAAAAAACATGCTTCAGGAGTTTATGGTTTTTTCTGTTTCAGGCCAAGCAGAGCAGAGTGTTTTCTCGTTTGGGGATTAGAGCAGGTGAATACTGGAGGATTAACTTTGGAGTTCAAATTTACATTACCGAAATGCTTACATCAATAAAATTAGTAGTATGTATCCATATAACTGGACTAAATGAATATATGATGAGCATGTAGTGTTTTACTTTTACTTATCTGTGTTTTGTATTTTATAAAATAAATGATTTCCGATATCGTGTGTCTGATCCAACTATAGTCCTCGGTGTTTGGGGACACGGGCTGTTGTGTTAAAAAACGACCCAGATGTCTCGAGTTGGACTGTCATAGCCACCGTCCATCTTTAACATATTCTGCATTCTCTTTCACACTCGCGAACTGACTACAGCATCATTTAGACAAGATCTCGTCCGTACATTTTGATGCCAGAATAACTGATACATGTAGATGAAAGTCGAAATCACACAGACCATTTTAATTTATTTATTTGATAGATGAAAAGCAGGTGTAGCAATTTTGATTTTGCTGGATCTTATCTGATGCTTAATACACAAATATAGTGGGGTGCTACTCACATTAAAAGTAAGTAATATGTTTAGCGCAGGAACGGGAACGCGGTTGGAGGATTCTACTGATATTCAGCAGCGAACAAGACATCCGGGAGCTGATCAGTGGATTCAGTATTGTGGCAATAGAAGAAGAAAATAGACCCTTGGACTGCTAGACCGCTGATCTAGAGAATTTTAGGGAACTTGTGAAATGAGTGTTTCAGAATATACACGTTTTGTTCTATTCAGTGGGATTTACCGTCCAGCTCATCTGTTGGGCACATTAATTGTGGGTTTATAACGATCGAAATATCGACAAATACTCAAAAGACTGTTGCTACTATGCCCATCGAATGATCTGTTCCTTATCGGGGAATTTTCTCGAAAAATTGATTGCACATAGGTGACATGTAGTAGAGCTCGATAACAGTCAATGTATACATAAACTGTTTAAACCCATGCATTGGTCGCTCACCAGATGGTTTGATTTCCAGACCAGCGTACTGAGAACCAACAAGAATCTGATAATATCTGTATATTGAAGTTTTCGCTCTCATTCAGTACAAACGCAAACCCGTTCGACCAATCGTCGATCGAGGTAGACAAATGTGTACGCCTGAGAACTCTCAGTCTGAGATCAAAGGTATCATGTATGCAACGAAAGCCAATCGTTATCCTCTCAAAGGCACATGTGTAACCGCACGTAAAAGAACCCCTGGAAAGCCAGTTAAACAGTTAAACATTATCCGCCATTCGGGGTGTGAGTATGAGTAAAATGTTGCGTAAACGACTTCAGTTGGCCGTTATTCACGCTTTCTTTGCCGCCCACCCCTCTCCGCAGTCCAGCATTGCCAAAAATACGAGATAACAATGGTCCAATACTATCTTCCTCCTTTGACTGAATCACAAGTCATCTATCAAGGTGAATGTTTATCCGTAATCCCTTATATCAGTAGAGGAACTGGAGTCAGTTACCTAACTGAGCGACTGAGCACATGCTGAAACAGGTTAGACTAGAGGTCAGCAACACGAATATTACGCGGTCATAGCTGAATAAGAATAAAAGAAATAAAACTCCTACCATGAATCTTGAGGTCTTTGTTAGCAACACGTCATGACTGCGGTAATAAATCATTTAAAACTGTCTTTCAGCCCGACCAATCGATATGGCTCGAACGTGCATGGATTTCGCAGTTTATAGCTTAGATTCCGAAAGCTCAACACAAATGGCCAAATGCAAGCGGAAACAAGAGAACGGAACACATAGACAATAACGACGAACAAATAATACCGTACCCCTCTATTCACGTTAATGGTGAGTAGCATGTTTGGTGCGCACACGGGAAAACAGTTAGCGGATTCTCACGATACTCAACAATGAACAAGATATCCGGGAGCGGATAAGTGGATATAACACATTGAGAATAGGAGATGCGAGTCGATTGCTGAATTTTATGACCGCTGATCAAGAGTATTTCATGAAACCGTGAACTGACTGTTTGGGATTACATCCTTCGTTCTATATAATCCGATCTAACCCCTACCTGTGTTGTGATTGCAACCCAATTCATCAGTTTTTGATACTTCCCTTGAGGATTTATAACACCAATAATGTACACAAATATAAGTAGGATAGAACCACCAGCGTATCCGTTACATCTCTGGTCAGTTTCCTTCACGAGTTGTCCCAGTAAGCGCTGCGTAATCCGCTTAGTTCCCGGTAGTGTAACGCATTATGCGGGAATTCAAATGCGACAACTCTGGCTGTTGCGGATAAAGCCATGCTGTGAGACGCGACCTGACTAGATTTCTACGTACCATTTTGAGAGAAAGTAGCATCAGTTGGCCACATTTATGTTCTCATGAGCTTACCCATGTGGAAATCTGGTGAGCTGAAATGACTATCCCTGGGTAACCATACACAAAATGTCTGATATAGAGCGGGTTTTGAAAAAACAGTTATTTTTTCGTTACTCCACTAAGAAAAATATCATAACCAATTTCATATTTTAAGTTTTTCGACTGAACAAATCGGTAACATGCCAATTAACATGAAAATTATCTTAAGTAAACGACCTTGTTTGATTGATTCTGGTGATTTGTGCTTGCAAACACCTTATGCAGGCAGAGAACATTTTGGTTTAGGCAACCCATTTAGGGTTTACCTCGGATAACACAGTATCCACCACACACTGACGTACTTCACCATCTGGGCAACTAGAAAAATGCGCAAGCATCCGTGTTTTCTCAATTCACCTAGGCTTTTTGGTTCTGGAAACGAAAAGTTTTAGACAGCGCGATATTACTCTATCACATGCCGCTCACCTCCATCCGCATAGGTTTCAACTCCAAAACTGGGAAATCCGTTCTCGAACTCGCCCTCGAAACGGCCGATTGAATTCTCTTTACACTTGATTCCGAGTGAGATGAAGTCCTCATCAAATTTGCCCATTATGACCCAGTCCTCACGAGTGAATACTCCGTGACCGTTCCGTCTGTTGTGTGCCCATTCCCCCTCATACATGGCACCGGGAGCATTTGGCCACAGAAACACTCCGCTTTTCTCCATCCCCGCATCCCACAGACCGGTGTATTCACCTTGACATTTGTCCTTGGTGATCAAACCCAAACCGACGGCTTTTTCGTTCAACCATTCACCGATATACAGACCGGAATCTTTGAACTCATACCGGCCAGCAGGGAGGCAGGTAGCCTCGGGACGGCTGGGCTCCGGGCTATCATTGTTATTATTAGTAATGTTATTATTATTATTTGTAGTATTGTTATTATTACTGATGTTGGTACTCATCTCATTGAACACGCGTCAAGCACAGGAGGTTCGAAAGGGGTTGACTGCACGAAGTTCCGCTTCCAACTAGCAGACGTGGATCATGCGGACGATAATTTTCGAGGCATGCAGATTTTCCCGAGTCGGTGTGTGAATCAAACATATCGATCTTGCCCGGCCACTGTGATGACAGGGGTGATGATGGGCTGAGAATTCCATGACGTGAGCACAAACAGATTCACCTTTCTGTGTACATATGTGCCGATCCAGTCGAATAAAATGATTAATCCGAAATCAGTGAGCGTTTCGCTCTGCCTACCCGGGTCCGGGGTAATGAGAATGTTTCTTGTCAAAGTGGATTGTTTTGCTGCTGCTGCTGCCGGACAATTCAACCGATCGTGATGTTCCGGATGATTTGGATCAGAGTGGAAACAGGTGCGGAAAAAGAGAAGATACTGTGAGCAAACGAAATATCCCAAACTCCGACTCCCACTGTCCCGATTTTGCGGATGCGCACGCGGAAACACGTAAACTTGCGCGCACAGAGTCCGCACACAATCGTTTCGTAGCGCACACTGGCGCAAGCGTGCGTGCTTGCGTGCTTACACTCGCATGCGTGCACCCGTACACACACGCGTGCTGGACGAATGGGGACAGGTTACTTGTGCGTTTCGGTGCGTGCTTATCTGCGTGCGGTTCATGGGTGCAGGTCTGTTGTGTCGATTGTCCAGTGGGATGGGTGATCGATCGACACCAGGTAGGCGAATTCGATCGGTACGGGCACAACTACCGACTGGACTACATTTGGGCTATGGGTCATTGATCGGGTGGAACCAGTGAAGAGGTTGAAGGTGGCGATATCCTGTTTTGGTCCGAATGTAGGTGGATTGGCACTGAGGGTGATGGTGATGGGTAGGAGGAAGAAGTTGGCAAAAGCATAAAGGAGGAGGGTAAGCATAGCATTGGTTAGCCCCAAAGAGAGAGAGAGAGAGAGAGGGTAAACGGGCTTTCCCTAAAGTACTTTCAGTCGACAGTCTGTGAAGACGGCGTTTGCACAGTCCCATGTTTTTTCTTCGTAACACATGTTGGCCCATGCGCACAGCTACTTTCCCCAAAGTAACCATGTTCATACAAAAAATGGTTTGCACAATTCCAACATACTGATATTTGACAGTTGTTGTTTTACGAATATTTCCCACATTACGCATCGTTCCTTGTCACACTAGAGTTCCTTATTTTATTCGCACGATTTTCAAAGAGAATAGGAAACTATCATGAGGTCAGAGGATTGAAGATCTGCACAACAAAGATCGATGGTGATGGGCCAGTTTAGTTCAATCACTATCCTCCTCCGTTTTCCTCCAATCGGAGGTGTTGCGCTCGAACTTTAAAATCAATAAAATTACGTCTGATACTAGTCCCAACAGTTTCATCATGCACTTCTTACTATGGTCAGGCTCACCTGGCAACACCTCTATGTTTTCAATACTCCAATCCTGGCTGTTGACGTCAAGTCGACTCAAAAAAGATCCCAAATCACTTGGATCGGGTTGTGGTTAAAACGTGTCTGTAGCGCTTGTTCTGGTGGTGACCCTGCTGGCAGTCTAGCAGCAAACCTTCAGGTCATATTTCGACACAACTTCCATTCCTGTCTTACACAGTAGGCTTCCAACAAGTTTATCAGTGCTCATGTTGTGTTGAATCTAAAATTCGCATGGGATAAAATTGGTAAAAATCCATGATCAAATATGAAGCCACCAGACTCAGTCCGTGTTTTTCACTTCTGTCGTGCTTCCCGATTCACGTGGATACACAATGAATAGATTTCAGCAAGATATATATCCCCGTTCCGGATAATTCGATATAATTGATCATAAGGGGATCCGAGCTGTCGCCATTTCAATGGGGATAGTTACTATTATGGATTCTTAACAGGCCAAGTGCAAAAACTATACGCTGAGTTGAATACTTTTCATTGATGTGAGTGACGTCTGGACTAAGCATTTTGAATAACATTTTAAACATACTACTGGATTGAATAAAAATATCCATCGAAAACCTAACGAATTCTATAAAGGACTGGGATGATTCCCGACAATGAACTGAGATTTAACATAGAATTAATATTTTATTCAATTAATCGATTATTCAAACAATCGATCTACGTTGTTCTAAAATCGACTGGATTCAATGATCATGAGAAATTCATGATAGGCTTTTTAGCGTAATTTTATTTTCTGAACTCAAAATTTAAAATTGAATTTGAAGGTAGTCAAATATGGTTCAGAAGAAGGGGTTTAATCGATCCGATGCGCACGTCTGATATCTCTAACCGACCAATCACATTCAATGAGTATAGGTCAAAGTGTGTTTAATTTGAGACAGATCTTCTGTTCTACCGTGCCATTGGAAAAGATAACCGTCAACATTGATCTAAACTGATGGTCAATGTGCGCTAGGTTCTGGCCGGTTCATACTTCACAACTGACAATCCGCTCGTTTCCATTGACGATACGCGGGGTACGTTTACATTCGGTAAAGCACATTTGCAAAGGTTATTTTGGTGCGGGTATATACAACATAGAACATACTTTTAATCCTACGTAATAAATGTTAGATTGTTCCCTATATGATCAGTTTATAAATCTTGAGAGAATGTTAGTAAACGGTAGTGATAAAAACGAACATTCATACGATCGAGGGGGCAAATAACATAGTGCTTGTTGCTGGTGGTGGTGATGGTGGTGTCATCGTCAGAGTCGTCGCCGTTTTTTATTCTTGTTGCTGAGTTTTCATCGTAAAGAGGTTAAAAATTGTGAGATGTACATATAATGCACGATCTTATTGCATCGCATTGGGGCGATATTGTATGGGTGCATTACATCGAAACGTTACATCGGAAATCCCGGTAGTTATCGAAATAAACATGAATCCCGGCTCAAAAATCACAGTAGCGGCTGTCTACCGAAATTCAACGCTCATGAGATGCGGTACGAAGAGCACAGAAGTGTCCCT